CTTTAAATTGCAGACAACTTTTTCTACATTAAATTTAAATTTGCAGAAAATATGCGAAGACCAGACCGGGAGAAATTGCTACAGAAATATTAAGAACCATAGACATTCAGGAACAGAATCTAAAATTCTAAAGCGCAAAAGAAAATATTATCCTAATATTAATATGAAGGACCAATGAAACCAAAGATATATTAATAACGGATATTACATCCATGAATGATACTCACTTATTGCAAACACACCGTTATATAGTTCGTACACCTGCATCTTAGTTTGTATGTTATAATATTATTATATATTATTGCATTTTTGTTAGATAGAAGTGGGCTCGGAAAGGCAGTGGCCTACCTTTACAAACATCCAAAAAAAACTGCAAATAACAAAGGTAGATGTCAGAAGTTGATAACAAGGTGGGCCAAACCGTTATTTTGTCCAGATGCTGCTTTTAAAGATTTTGCAAGAAAAGAAAGACAACAGAGATTTAGAACACTGTCCTAAAATACGAAAAATTTCCTCAAAAACTGAAGAGCAGGAAGAAAGAAAATTTTTCGGTGCACGCGTGGGATTTACCGAAGCCTTAACCGTGAAAAAGAAAGACGAACGTTCATTACGAGGAGATGCCACTTTGGTTGAAAAACAACGTTTATTGCCGGAAGATGCGAATCCGGCTGATAGAGCTAGAGTACCAGAACCATCCCTCACGGAATACATCATTCGACCAAAATGGAAAGTTGAAGGTGGGCCAGCGAAGGGTGGGTCGAAAAAAAGAAAACCAACCAAGCTGGAAGAACTTAGTAGAAAAGTTAAAGCAATGAAAAGAGCCAGCATTTCAAAGCCAGCGGTTTCCGTCAGCCTCCAGGGAAACAACATGAGTCTAAAACAGCGCAGTCTGCGTAGCACTTCACTTTTGTAAATATGTACATATGTATATTTTTTGTAAATATTTATATATGTATACTCCTTGTGATTATGTATTTACATATATTTTATATTTTTTTTAGGAGAGCATGCAGTCGTCGTCCAAATCAGTATGAATAAGCCAGATGGAAAAAAATAATAAAGTAACCTGCTATTAATATTTAAAAATTGACAAAATAAAAAATGATCGTGAACAAATTATAATCTCAATTACATACTTAACCTATGATCTCCCAAGAAAGCGAAACACACTAGCTCCAACGCCGGATTTAATCTTTTAAGATCTAAATAATTTGCTGATAAAGCAACCATGGTGACATTTATGACTGAAAAATATCAAACAACCTAAACATTCTAAATACTGTCAATTCCATTATTTAAACGAAAGACACGAAAGGTTGCATATTTTTAATCTAAAGAATCGATTTTTTATTTACTGGTATAACCGATATTTCATACAGAAATTATCATAGCTATGGTAGGTTTTAAACAGAAAATTATATAAAAATTTTGTGTGTGTCATCTTATTCTCAGTTCTTTTATACAGAAGGATTTATTTTTAGAGATTTCGATGTGAGATATTAAAAATAAGAGTTAAGTGCGTCAAGTTTTAGAAAGTAATACTGAAAAATTAGGACATGATCTGACGAATGACACAAAAAGAAGTAAAACGGAGTTGTTAAGGTCTTTACTACTATTGGGCCATAACTATTCAAACACGCTACAACCAAATGTATAACCTATGGTTTAACTTTTGTAAGTTTATTATAAGCTGGATATTTTTTTGTTTTAAATTGAAAAAAATAGTATTTAGAAAATTTATTTCAAGTTGTTGATAGAATAAAAAAACGTTCAGCTGGGGTTTAATCGCAGAAATGCATGATTTAATATCATGAATCATATCGACTCGCTAGTTTCGTGTATTTCTATCTGACTAAAATATAATGGAACTTAATGAAAATTTGTACGTGGAATAAATGTAAAAGTAGGCAACACCAACTTCGATATTTTAAATGAACGAAAATGCTCTAATCATCTTCAAATTTATTGTGTCACATAGTTTATTAATAAAAATAGTCAATTAAAATTATAAAAAA